CCCGGGATCCGAACCCGGGCAGCCAGCAGCGGAGCATGTGCACTTAACCGCTAAGCCACGGGACCAGTTCCTGGAAAATCAGTAGCTTTATTCCAAAAATAAAGAACTATATTCATTTTCTCAAATAAGGAGACCACATCTGGAAAAGCAAGTATAATTGGGATAAATACCCAATAAAATTTATATCAACACATTTTATTATCTTTTTCCAACATGGCAAATTAAATTATAATGTGCTGGAAAGGACCAATGTCCTGGACGTCTTTGATGGTGATGATAATCTCTGAGATTTCCTTTGGATACAATATTATGCAGCACGTTGTAATGTGCTTCTTCTTCAAGGGTACCGTTACATCTTTGATTTCTGCTACTACAGCTACTGTTATTGCTAACGGTGCTGCAGTTACTGCTACAACTACTACAACTGCCACTGCTACCAGCTCTATATCTGTGATCGGTGAAAGGCTGTGAATTTTTAATATGATAGCTCAATGTGGTTATTTTCACTAGTGTTGGTGGAATGGGAATTGTTTTATTTGTTGGATTTTATATTATATATAAATCAAATAAGTAGACATAGATGGATAGCAAGCTGTCAATATAATTGACATGTTTGTTTGCTTCTTGATTCTGATTAAATGTTTCCCATGATATGAATCTGTATATCATATTTATCCACTGGAACATGGTTATCCAGAGTTATTCTGATCTTCACTATAATTGAGTTTCCAATTTTTATTGCAGCCTGTCATACTAGCACCCCTGGCTTGCTGATGATAAGTCACTTTTTAAAAATTATGATTTTCTTCAACATCATGAAAAAGGAAAAAATAATTGTCCAGAATCTGAGAGAGACATAGTAAGAGATCCATGGGCCACATGCCTATAACAGATCCAATATAAATATCTGTTATCCTACAACCATCGAATGTCTTTTTAATATTATGCCAAGGGCTTTTCCTATTTTAAGTCATTTTTCAGATCCCGGCATATAAATCCAAAAAGAACCAAAACTATTTTAAGGGGCATATATCCTCCAATTTGGAACTCCATATGTAACTCTCCTAATGAGCAAAATCATGAAAATAATTTTATCCTCCTTCTGAAAGCAGATGCATATATTTGCAAGATTTCTTATAAAATGCTAAATTTGTGCACTTCCTATAAGTAAAATCCTTCTCCTTGCTATTCTTATTTTTCTATCTCCAAACCTCCAAGGACTGTAGAGCATTTATCCTGATTTCTAGGTAAACTTTATGAAATTATTACTAGAAAGGGACTTTGAGCATTATTAGTTTTCCTTTGCAAAGGAACATGGCTTTGTCAGGCAAGGATTTCACAGTGGGGACATTTCTCCAAAGCTTTCATATCCATCATGATAGCAGTCTTCTAATATTTCTTATTCCATTCTTTATCGATTAGTGCCTTCAGGTTCATACAGAGTGACACAGTAGGTTGTAAATTCAACTGACATTATAATGCAGCAACCTACAGAATCAGCCATCCAGTTTGCCAATAAATGATCTCATTTTTAGAGTCACAATCAATAACAGAATCTTTCAGTGTGGTTAGAGAAAAACACTGGGTTACATTCTGTGTCTTGTGGTGAGCATCTTGATGTCAGGAGTTCAGCTGAGCTGGAGGGATAGAGCTGAGCTGCCAGGTGTGGGAGTAGAAGATTAAAGCAATCAGCCAAAAATGAACGAGTTAAGCCTCTAATCACTTCTGAAATGGTATAATCAAGAGTCTAAAACTGGAGAAAACTGAGACTATCCCTGTTCCATCTTCTCCCACAAAACAGTGCCCTGGTTGAGAGTCAGTTGGATCCGTGGAGGTACAGAGGTAGGGATTGTCTCACTGTTGAGAGAGCTCTGAACCAAAGGCTCCAGAAGTTTAATGGACTCTGAAGTGCTTTCCCACTTCTAGACCTTATGCTGTCTGTGAGTCAGAGTGCGGAAACGTGTCTTCAAAGTTTCTCCCTCCCTCCCCTCATAACGAGGCCACAGAAGAGGTGCTTGAAGAAGACCTCCCCCTAAGACCTCAGATAAAAAGACCTAGGAATGAAGGTGCCTGGGCTAAGAATGCAAATAAGCAAAGAGCACGACTCGACTGACTGAGAGCCTGAGGGGAACTGCAATTCCCCTCAGAGACTGCAGTGCATTGGCTCTGCACCAAATCTAGTGCAGGATGGGCAGCTTCCCTCTATAAAGACTGCCACGTAAAACATTTATAATTGCCTGTGGTCAGACCTGAAATGTCAAGCACAGATTTTTAACCTGATGCCAGACGCCACACTTGATATATGACTGCGTACATTTCTCACCGTGTTTTTCAGTAATGTCAAATCAGCTTCCTTAAACTGTGGCTCCAGCGTTTACACTAACTTTTAAGTCATCCTGTGGCAGCTACTCTCTGGTGGCTCAGATACCTCCTTCAATAAACTCGTGGTCCTACATGACCACAGCGATACTTTGAGCAATTGTTTCTCAACATCCTAAAATAAGCTGATTTTACCACTTTGAAAGATGAATCAGACGCTCAGTGCCATTCACTGAAATGCAGCTAAGTATTTAATTCCAAACACATCGTATATTCCAGAGGGAATAATACCTATAGCTCACTCTCTGGAACCAGTTTCAGTAATTTATTGAGTTTTCTGTTTGCCAGCTACAGAAACCAACAATGACTAACAAAAAAGAGAAGAAAATAGTTTAGAGAATTAAACGAAGAGCTTAACCCAAGAACTTTATAAATTTTATGGGGGTGGCAGTCCTTGGATTTCAGAGACAGAAACTTCAATTTATCTTTCTAAGAGGATAAAGGAGTGACTTACCACATTTGTGCCCCAGTTTCTAGCAGAAATAATTAAATTGATCTGGAATGTGTTATATACATGTGCCTAGTGAAGGTGTGGATCTGTGCGTTCAGGGAAGAAACTTTTCCACCATAAAGGTCTATAATCAAAGACGTAGGAACAGATACATCTGGGCAATCAAATGGTGACTTTCACACTTCTCAAATCTGAATCACAAGCTGTCATCTCTCTTCTGAGATCAAGACATATATATCACATTAATATTGGATATATATTTATTTGCTTCACAACATGCCCTAAACTGAATTCTAATTTCTCGTTGCTGCCTCTCTCGCCCATTTTTACCATTGTCTTCTGCAACCCCTAATCTATGTAATGTCTTGTCACATAGTCCAAAGAAGAAACATGAAACATGAATAATTTATAATTTCCCTTCCATTGTACTGCCAACATTCAATGTCTCCACATAGTGTTGATTCCTCTTTAAATTATCCTCAGTGTATAAGATTTTGCCTCTACCCCAAATACTTTGCTCATTATCTTATTCTTGAATACTTGCAATATGCTTACTGCAATGCCCATGTTTTCCCTGATGACATAATGATATCTATGGAGTGAAAAATTGACTACTTTGTTTCCCAATGTTTGCTCTATAAAATAAAAATGCCTTTACTTATCAATATATCTTTAATAATATATCCATTTTCTAAAAATCAGCCATACTTCTGTCTACATGTTCATTACTACATCAAATTACTTGCCTTTGATAAATATATGAAGTAACCATGATGAATTTGAATATGTAGTGTGTTCTTTCTGCTATGGTAGATTAAACTGACTCACACAGTCATTCACTCACATAATTTAGAATTTTATCTGGCATCTCAGTTTTGTGCATTTTTATTTACTTTGTTTTGGTTTTTGTTATTTTTCTCTTTTCTTCTTTCATTTATTAGATTTATTTTGGTTGATAACATTCTATTTTTATAATAGAATTGGAATTAACATTAAGAACTATTTTGAACTATTTATTTTCTCCTGTATGTCCACACATAATTTCATGCAAACACTCAAAACCTTATCTCTTTTGATATATTCTACAAAAAAATTTTAGTTATATGTACATATATATATACATTTAGTTATGTGTGTGTGCGTGTGTGTGTAGCATATACTGTATATAATTTTCTGATCTTAGACGTTTTAAAAATATAAACATTACTGAGTGATTTTTTAGAGTTATTTCCTATATATCACTCAATTTCTCCCTTTATTTCTTTTCTTGCTAGAGTGTTTTCTCCATAAGTATTTTCAAAAAGAGGTTGTTATGTTGTTAACCTTCTAAAACAATGTATGCTTGTCATTACCTATGTTCACACTCTGATTTAAATGACAGTTAATATTCAAATACCACATCTCAGTAATTTTCTGTAGATGCCCAATAAGGATTTTAGACTCACTATGTCTCTCATACCTTCCAAAACTCCATTTTTTGCATTCTCAATGTTAGTAAATGGAAATATATTTCACTCAGGTTAAAACAAATAAGAATTCACTTTACCTTTTTTTCCCTTGCATGTTCTATCATCAGCAATTCCCCTTGATCTTCCTGCAGATATGAAGCAATTTTTATCAAGCCCACTTGATCACACTTCTCTGAATGACCACAAGACTCTTCCAGATTTTTATAAAATCATTGAATTTCATGCTTCCAATTTCCCACACCAACTATACTTCACTATAAGTGAGATTAATAAATGTAATTCAGACCATACATAGCATTATTATCTTTAAATTTTATTTATTTATTTACTATTATTATCCACAAATTAGTTTTTTTGATTATTATCCTTAAAACTTTCCATAGCCTCCATTGATCATAGAATTACTTGTGGCCATGCGCTTTAAGGTCTCACGTGACCTGAGTTCAGTGCATGTCTCCTTTCTCACCTCTTAGCACTTTCTCCTCGGTCCCAGTGTTCTAGACTTCCTGTCAATCGTGCAGGAACTAGAATAACCCTAATTTTTTGATGATATCTATTTCCCTTTTTTGTTACACATTTCTAGTGACTGACTATTATTCAAGTCTATGCCCTATGTCACCTCCTTAGAGAAGATGCCTCTTACAATCTATCTGAAATGGCCCAAATGCTAGTCACTCTTTCCTTAGTTGAAACATGCTCACATATTTCTCTATAGGTTAACTTGCTGAATTGGAATATAAGCTTCCTAAACACCAAGACCTTTTTTGTTTTATACTTTATATCTCTAATGACTAAAACATGCTAAAATAGATAGATATAAAGATAAAGATAGATAGATAGATAGATAGATAGATAGATAGATAGATAGATAGATAGATAGATGATAGACAGATAGATGTAGAAGTATAATCTACTTAAAATAAAATTAAGTAGAAACACTGTTCACTATTTTTAAAGCAAAGGAAGAAAAAATGGCTTTCATTCTTTTATGTCTAAATATTATTAATAAATATATAAAGTCATTTCAAATACAAAAATAAACAAAAAGTTGCTTGTAGTTTTGAATATATTCTTATCTATTTTGCAGATAATTATATGAAAGTTGTAAATTTATCAGCCATTATTCTCAAAATGTTGCCAAAATAAGGTTGATTCAAATATTAAGTACATGATCCTGAGACCTTGGACACACAGGAAAATATTGTGAAAATTAAAATTAACTCATAAAAATTAAAATGAACTCAAGAAGATTAAAATGTCAACTTTCGAAAACTTATTTTACAGTGGTTGGACAGTGTATTTAATCCCTGATTACTTCAACCTGAAAAAATTATATACCTATTCATTTAAGTATTAATGTTATTTTAAATCCAACTAGAAGGTCTGGTCATCCTAAAAGTGGTTATTGAGTCATCACTTAAGAAGAAATAAAGAGTTTAAATCTGAAACAGATTCGTATGTATTAAGTAGGGAGAAATTTATACCATATTTTTCTCTATAAATCAGAAGCTTTACAGAATATTCAAAAATTAAATAATGCTTGTTGCTTCTGCAGAATGAAGTTAAATACCACTATAAAAATGAGAGAGTCCTTCTGAGATTCAAGAACTTGAAGATTTTTAAGAGGGAGTCAGAAGAGCTACTTTTGAGTTAGTGGTAAACTGAGTAGATCAAGACTGCTATTTTGAACACTTACTGCTTGAGAAATTACAGTGCTTATAGTTTTTTTTCTTTTTTGTTTCTAACCATTGAGAAAGGATTTAAAAATAACCAATTTATGGTATTTTTAATTTTTTTGTGTGAGGGAATATTAAGCTGAGAGCAAATAAGTGCCTTTATTCATTCGATTTTGTCTTACGATAAAGACTGCATAAATAACAAGATGCAGGAGCATATGATTTTCAATAGATAAGGGTGAATAATTTGCAAAATTTATAAACGTTCATTAAAAGAAGCTTTATGCAAATTCTAACATTTATTTCTCTCTCTTCCTTTTTTTATGGAAGGAAGATCATGTTAACAATCTAAATGAGTTTCTTGAGTCTTAATACAGGAAGAATATCTTCCCAAATTAATTTATCTGTGGCAGTTAAGAGAATCAGAAAGTTCACAGGATTAGGAATAAGACTTAACTGAGTTGAATCATAGTTTTCCTTTGACTAGCTCTGTATCTTCTGAGGTATTACCTAAATATACTCTGAGCCACAGATTTCACTTGAAAAAATTGACATAAATTAATTACATAACCACATGTAGCTTGTGAAAACATTTTAAAACAGTTAATTGGTTAAGTATAGAAGTGTGCATTTAAAAAGTTAATAGAATGGTTGCTTTAAGACAGATTCATTCACTTTCTCTGGGGGTCATTGCAAACAATTTCCCCCAAAGCAAACATAGGTATACAAGTGTTTTTGTGTGTATATACATATGTGAAGTTTTAAAAAATATACATTATATTCTGAATGATCCCATATTTACAATTTAATAAATTTAATTATTTTGGGGTAAAAATATTACCTAATATGACACTTTCACTTTCTTTCATTTTATTTTCTGCCACCTTCATTTTAGGCAATGACTATGCCCACTGTGTATCGAACTGCTCAAAAATGGATGCCATTTATTCTTTTAATTACACTCTTTTCTTTTTTCTTTTTTATTACATTCTTCTTCTTTTTATTTATTCTCTTATTATAACAGCTTTATTGAAATATGAATCATATTCTATAGAATTCACCTACTTAAAGTGTGCAAGACAATGAATTTTAGTATATTTACAAGTTATGTAATCATTAATACAATCAACATTAGAACGTTTCAGTCTCACAAAATAGAAACACTGTATCCATTAGCAATCCATACCCACTTCCCCTATCCCCCTATTCCTGGGTAACAGGTAATCTCCTTTCTGTCTCTATAGATTTGCCTATTCTGAGTATTTCATGCAAATGGAATTGCGTAATATGTGATCTTTTTTGAATGATGTTTTTCATAGCATAATATTTTAAGGTTCATTCATGTTGTTGTATATATCTGCATTTGGTTTATTTTTATTGGTGAATAATATTCCATCATATGCATATACCACATTTGATTTATCGATTCATCAATTGGTGGGCATTTGGATTGTTTCCACATTTTGGCTGCTATGAATAATACTGCTTTGAACATTCGTGAACAAGCTTTTGTGTGGATATGATTTTCATTTCTCATGAGTAAATACCTAGGAGTCAAATTGCTGGATTGCTGGATTATGTGGTAACTCTATCTTTAACACTTGGAGGAATAACCAGACTATTTGAAACAGTGGTTCCATCAGTTTATATTTCCACCAACAGTGTATGAGGATTCCAATTTCTCCACATTCTCACCAGCAAGTGTTATATTATTATTATTATTATTATTATTATTATTATTATTATTATTATTACTATTGACATTCTGGTGGATATGAAGTACTCTCTTATTGTGATTTTGATTTGAATTTCGCTGTTGGCTAAAGATGTTGAGTACTGTTTTATGTGCTTTTTGGCCATTTATATATCTTCTTTGAGGAACTATCTATTCACATAATTTCCATATTTTAATTGTCTTGTTTTTTTGTCTTTTTATTTTTGACTCAGAAGTGTTTTTCCTGTATTCTGAATAAAAATCGTTATGAGATGTATGATTTGCATACTTCCACATAACCTCTTTTTCAGTTAATCAAAGAAAAGAAAATTGTTGAGAAAAATAGTATTACATATAACATATTATATATCATCAAACAATTATAGGTATATGTTGAAAATAATTAAAATATATATAAATTTGTACAGATTCAAATTAGCATGTTTAGAATATGTTTGAAATATTCAAAATTAATAATTACGTATCACAGTCAATAACATTATTAACCAGACCTGCTGGAAAGAGTAGAATTAGTAATAACATCTAAATCGATTTTAACTCTCTGTATTACCCCTTACCTTAGATATTTCAGAGTCAAAGACAATAAAAACTGCAACTATAGCAGCCATTGGTATTTAGTGAATATTATTTATAGAAAATATTCTAATAAATACAGGAAAATGATCCTATTTAACGTGGATCCCACAGATAAGCACCATTATCACTTTCATTATATAGATAAGGAAAATGAGAGAACATAATCTAGGCCCCCCTGCCTTGAAACCATGAGATAGTGTTCAAGAAGTTGAAAGATATTTCTAAACTATTGGTTGCATCATAAACACTATTTGGAATTCAGAGTAGAAAATTATTTACAAAATATATTAATTAATACCTGTAAAATATATATTATACCTTGAGAATATCAATTATACCCTGATGCATTTAATACTGTGAGTAAAATTCTATACTTTGTTAATACCTATAAGCAAGTACTGCATTAATTGAGAGTACAATTTTTGTAGATGACAAGTTCACAATCAGATTAATTTACTTACTGAATTAAAAGTTTTTTTTGTTGTACATGAAAATATATATTCTCTAAATTCATAATATGCTGCATAAGTTTTTTCATTTGGGCTACATTTTCTTTAAAATATTAAAAGTTTTAAGGAATTAGTTTGATATCATTTTTGCAACTTAGATTAAATTGTCTGTTTAAGAGGCAGTATGAGGTATTTATTTCAATCTCTTTTAGACTTTATTAGATTTAGAAGAAAAAAGACAACGAGCAAGGGATTAAAAGGTCACTATTTCAATCCAAATGCATTAAAGCAATTAAGGGGGATTTAGTCGTTAAGTGATTTTCTTAAAAAATCTAATTTATTTTGGTAGTCTTCTCTTTCTATGAATTCTCAAAGAAGCTTAATTTTTACACTATTTATGTGCTGTCAGCCTTATTAGCTCATGATGTTAAGATACCAAGGAAATGTTATCAGAGAAATGATATTCCAGATCCTTAAGCTGTTTTTTAAGTAATCATAACTAATCTCACTGAAATCAATAAACAGGATTTACATTAGCTGAAATATTTTTTCTTTAGGAATTTTGACCTATGGTGGCCATTCTCATGAATGTTCTCTTATATGTTATCTCAAAGTTTTTTATGTAAAACATCAATTATTTTCAATAATTCACAGCTGTTGATAAACAAATGATTTTATCTACCTAGTGAAATATTAAATATTCTTGTAAAAAAACTTAATTTCTTCTATTCTTATTAATAATATTAAGTAATTAATTTCATGTTTGTATTTTAGGAAACTACAAGTTCTATGATGGCCCTATTACATTTAATTAAGAAATATTTTACTATATTTAATAGATTTAATTAATATTTATATTCTTTTTGTGTGTGTATGAGGAAGATCAGCCCTGTGCTAACATCTGCCAATCCTCCTATTTTTTTGCTAAGGAAGATTGGCCCTGGGGTAACATCTGTGCCCGTCTTCCTCCACTGTATATGGGACGCCGCCACAACATGGCTTGCTGAGTGATGTGTAGGTACACGCCAGGTATCCGAACTGGTGAACCCTGGGCCTCCGCAGTGGAACTCGCGCACTTAACCGCTTGCGCCACTGGGCTGGCCCCAATATTTATATTCTTATTCTTAATTATTTTTATATTCCATGATATAAATAACATAAAATGCAAGGAAATTTGAAAATTATCTCATTCTCAAGCAAGAAAAATAGTATAATAATAACATTACAAATAAAGTAGGTTATATTTCAATTAAGTTGAAATAATTTCATACTTCATGAATATTTCATTCTTCAGTTGCATACGGACGAAAGCAGAAAGTTTATTATTTGTCTAATTATATGCTAGGCAAATAGGAAATGTCAGAGACACATAAGTATTCTAAGTAACTTTAACCAAATGCACTAGATCTACCTGCTTGACACAATAGCAGAGTCCAAGATATGTTAGATAGGTCTTGCCTTCATAAAGCTAAAGAATAATTATATAAAAATGTCTCAATAAAATCTAAGTTTAAGCATTTTTGGATGAAATAGCCATCTAGTGATAATATACTATAACTTATTTTTAAAATTTTCTTAGCATTAAGTTTCATGAAAATCCTACAAAAACACTTGATTTCACTCTATTGTAGAAATAAAGAGTAATTTTCTGAGTCGTCTTGGATAATCATAAATATCTTTTCTCACGAAACTCATGGTCTCTTGGTGGACACAGACAAATGCATAACTATGAAAGCTAATAGTTAAAAATGGTGTTAATTGATATAACGAAAGTGAAGGAGATGTTACTATGAAGGAAAGATTCAAGTGTCAATAATATATTTCATTATTATTTGAGGAACACATATACCTGATTCTTCACTTCAGCCTAGTTGTGCCTCATGCCCGAGAGTAGTAAAGAGCAATGAAAAAGTATTTGCCTCGATGACAAAGAAGTAACCATAAACATAGGCTTTTCCTAGGGTTTAGGATGTGGGAGGATAGAACAAGGGTGCAATCAGCCTTACTTCTTTTATCACTTGGCATAGTAATTAGAGTTTGCTAAAACATTTTTAGCCAATATGATCAGATAAGGATGAATGGATTGAAGGTACTCATACCACAAGGCATTGCGATTTCTCCAACAGATCCACAGTAGAAATGGCATTTAAACTGTAGCTATTTGACTAAGAGTAGTCAGAATTCTATAAACTCTGAGGTAGACAAAAAGTAAATTGGATCAAAGGAATGCCATGTTATCAGAGATAACTGTTTTAATTTATAAGTATTGCTTCTTCATGAAGTCTAAACTAAAAAAGACATTTATATAGCCTTCTTATTGTCATCCCCAAGAATATCCCTCTCTCCACTATATCTGTTTATAACCTTAAGTCACAAATAGTGAGTTACTCCTTGTAAATCCTTTAAAATATGAGAAAACTGTCTTAGAAAATTTACATTATGTGCCCAAAGTAATTGCCTTTTTACAACCACAAGCGTATTTACAATGATATATTCATCACTATTAATAATGTTCACTTTGTTATTATGTAGGCAGTTTACAACTTATACTCACAAGTACTATGTCATTTATATTATGATATGCAAATATTATATTAAGTACTTTTTTCAATTGTGTAAAAAAAAATATGCTCCTCAGTATAGCAATGCATTAATAATAAAGTGACAGTAGTGATTTTATTGTTGCAGTTGGTATTGTATGTTTTTTATTGATTGAATTTTTATCTCTTTCTAGCCAGGTATATGTTTAATTTAAAATTTATTGATTCAAATTAAATATATATCCCGTAACACTAACTTATATCTGTAGTACAGTGTCAAACTTCTAGGTTTAGGATTTGACAATATAATCTTCCACATTTTGCTTAAAGTCTGACTACTTGTTTGTGTGTGCATGACACCAGGTCATGTAATTAATCATTTGATTGATTGAACTCAGTGACTCAGTTTAAGGATAGATATTTTAGTACTCACTTTTAGCAAATGTAATTAAATACATATGAACTCTGATTTTTTTATACATCTTTAAAATTGTACAAAGGATTCTTTATATTTTCCCTGAATTTTTAATTTTAACATGTTCATATTTGTTAATTTTGTACCCAAGTAGTAAGTATATGTGTATAAACATATGCAAGCACAGAGAGAGAGAGAGGAAGAGAGAGACAGACTCTCTGTTGCTGGACCTTGGAGTCCTCAATAGGATAGTTTGCTTTCGTCAAGAGGTTTGTCATTTTTTGGAGGAGTTGCATAAATTTTTATAATTTAAATTGTAATTTCATGGGCGTGGAGATGTGACTGTAAAACAGCTATATTAATAAATGTTCAATCTCACTATTAATCAAGAAATTAAAACTTTCTTGAGGTAAAATTTAACAGCATAAGATTGGCTATTTTTTTGTAGTAGTGTAGTTTCTATTTTAGGATACAATTTGGCAATACCATGAAAAAGTGAGATGGCAAATACACTGTGTTCCAACCATCCCAGTACTAGGTGGGTTTACCTTGAAGGAACCCTTGCACTGGGATACTGTGTAGGAATATAGCTACATTAATCCCCCCAGGGCAGAAACAACCTAACTGCTTCTCAGTGTAAGGGTAGATAGATGAAATGTGGATTATAAATACAAAGTAATGTTAAACAACAAGTACAGTGAATGTATAAATCATATAGGTCTAAGTATGTATACAGTTTACTAGTATTTTCAGTAGAAGAAGCAGTTTGCTTCATGAGCTGTGAAGTTTGATATTTATGAAATATTTGAACCACATAAAATAATATATTCTTATGACTACATATTTGTAAAAAATACAAATAATGCATATTTATGATTACAGCTGCAGAATAGTGGTTATACCAGGGATACGTGGATAGAGAAGTACTAGGTTGTCTTGAGAACATGCTTTAACTGTTAGTGAATTTTAATTTTAAAAATACGAATATGGCAAGACTCGTACCAATTAAAAGATTCACAATTTCAATGGTATGCCTATTTTAAAATTTATCATCTCAGTATAATGATATTTTATTATATATATGAAGTATGAAATTTCATGTTTTGTACATAATATATATACTTTCATATCTCATAAGAATCTTCAGATTCTTTCTGTATGATTCTTGTCTTATTTAAGAATATTGAATATATATATAGAATGTATTTCCCCATGAGTGATCACAGCATTAGAAGAGAAACATGCAAGTGAGAGACCCAAGGAATTTCAAAATTAAAATTTTGTGACATAGAAATTCTCCCAAATGAAACTAAAAAGATAGAAATTTAAAGGGAGTTAAAGGGAGATTGTCACTGAGGCCAATGAAAAAGATTATCTGCAGATGTGGATGTTGTCAACTCTCTTTCAGGGTAATGAGTTTTCAAATAATTGAGGACCAAGAAGTATGATTAAATTTAACAATATGCAGCCAATTAGAGATGTTAGCAAGAGTCCCTTCAGAACAGTGTCAGGCAAGGGTGCTAGCACACCGTGCATTGAGAAGGTCATGAGAATTCAGGAAGAGGAGACAGAAAACCTTTCCTGGAGACATTTGGCTGTACTTATTCAATTAAAAAGTTTGGGGAATGAGTCCCATTAACCTATGTTTTTAGAAGCCCTCCAGGAGATTCTGAACACGCTGATGTTTGAAAAACTTCATTTTGGGGCCAGCCTCGTGGTGTAGTGGTTAAGTTTGGCATGCTCTGCTTCAGCAGCTGGGTTCGCCGGCCCAGATCCCGGGTGAGGACCTACACCACTCGTCAGCCATGCTGGGGTGACCCCCATACAAAATAAAGGAAGAGTGGCACAGATGTCAGCGGAGGGCTAATCTTCCTCAAGCAAAAAAAAAGAGGAAGACTGGTGACATATGT